GAATCAGCGCGGCTCCCTTCTGCCTCTGGTGGAAGCAGCGCAGCTCTGGGCGGTGCACCGTGGTTCCTGCCAGCTCCCGCGGAAGCAGTGGGCAGCCTACTGCGCAATATTGTGCAATGGGCTACTAGTATGTGTGTGTGTGTGTGTGTGTGTGTGTGTGTATGTGTGTGTATATATATATATATATACACACACATACACACACACACACACACACACACACACACATACTAGTAGCCCATTGCACAATATTGCGCAGTAGGCTGCCCACTGCTTCCGCGGGAGCTGGCAGGAACCACGGTGCACCGCCCAGAGCTGCGCTGCTTCCACCAGAGGCAGAAGGGAGCCACACTGATTCCGTGGGAGGTGGGAGGGAGTCACGCCAGGGACTCGTGCAGATTCTGTGGGAGGCGGAAGGGACCCGCGCTGCTTCTGCGGGAGGCAGGCCCCCGTCTCCTCTCCGGGCCTGCGCTCAGCTGCGGAGGCTACAGGCCAGCCCCCTGTCCCTGCCCTGTCCGTGTCTGTTCCGGCCAGAGCCGCCTCCAAGCCTTTGCGATCAGGATCACGGGCCACAGGCAAGGTGGCTCCTGGGTCCCGGGTGTGCCGCCTTGCCTGTGGTCCGGCTTTCCAATCGCGATCACCGACTGGGGGGCGGGCAAAGGCGCCCCGTTTCTCCAGCTCTTGCCTGCCGCCTGGGTTTCCAATCACCGTTCTTCCGTCCTTCCCCTTTCGCCTCCCATCATTGCGCCTACCTATGCAAATTAACCGCCATCTTTCCTGGCAGTTAATTTGCATATTACCCTGATTAGCCAATGGGAAGCGTAGCGAAGGTACGGTCAATTACCCTGTTTGTCTTTTATTAGATAGGATATGTTATGGAAGAGAGGATGCCGATGGAGAACTTCTATAGTTGAATGGAATAAATTATAACCTAAATGCCTGCCAAAGAGAAAATTAATGAGAAGCAAGCCAATTTGCCTAACAGAACCCAAAAAACTTCTAGAACTTGAAGGGAAATGGTAACATAGAAAATGTGAGTGAGGCATGAGCCAGAAAAGAGGGGTCATTAGTTGAACATCTATATACAAAGTAGTTGGACCCTAGGTACCTTCTCCTACCCCAAAAGCCAGGTGACCACTCCTTCCTCCCATAAACCACCTGCGAGGAATGATTGTATCCTCCCCAAGGAACATTGAATGTTGAGGCTCAGAACCCAGGGAAACCAGGCATAGTAGAGACATTTCATGAGACATGGAGTTGAAAACAGGAATTTAGGTGGAAGCCTGCATATTGAATAGTGGGAACTCCTCCTATGCTCTGCTATTTATGACAGCAACCAAGAATATAGCCCCAGCCAGGAGATGGGAGAATTCATCTTTGGAGAAACTGAATGGCCCCAGAAAAAAGATCTATGGATGTTGACAAAGACTAGCTCATTCCTGGTCACCCTATTGAGCTCCACTAGTCAACAAGCCTGGCTCATGCACATAGTTTTCAAATGATGTATTCATAAATAACAAAAGACAGCCAAAGATCACCAGACATGTGATGAAGACCTCAAACCCTGAATGTAATCAAGCCTTTAGCTTTAATTTCCAAGCTATAGGAAATATGCAGGATAGAGGAGCAAATTAAATGAAACCATGAGGAGGTAAGATGATAAAATGTGGGGCATTCTACAGGACAATTGACCTGGTCTCTTCGATAAGTCAATGGCATGGAGGAAAAATGTGTATGTGGGAGGGAAAGCAGTTCAAGTTTAAAAGAGAGAATTCTGATTTCAATAAATCAACTATAAAAAGACATTTTTGCATCAGTGGGGAAATTTGCATATAGACTGAGTACCATATGATATTAAAGCATTATTTTAAATGTTAGTATAATAATGGTATTGTGGTTATATAAGAAAATATCATTATTTAGAGATGTATAATCGAATATTTGGAAGTGGAATATCATGATGTATTAGACTTGCTTTAAAAATTTTAGCAAAAAAATTAAATCAAGTATGGAAAAATATTAGTAAATGTAAAATCTAAATGATGAGTTATATATAGGAGTTATGTTCTGTCTTCTTTTATGTTTGTTTGAAAATGTCCAATGTTTCATAATTTAAAAAACTAAGCAAATGAAATAAGAGGTTATTATTAACTTCTGGTCAGGGAGGAGTTAAATAAGAAAATGTGATCATAATTTGTTATTTATTTCAGCAGCAATAACATGTATAGAGACTAATTTTGCCATCAAATACTGATTTCAAAATTGAGAGGATGACAGGAGGGGAAAGTTGCCAGAGGAGGAGGAAGAGGATATTAGTTTAAATTTTCACCCATCATAATATAAAGTCAGTAAAAAATTGTTAAGTCAAGAAAAGAAATATAAACAATATAATTTCAGGAAAAATAGCTTTAAGAGTTGAAAACATTTACCTGGAGGGAGCAGGACTGTAGGATTAAGGAGAGGACAAGCAGGGGATTACTATTTTTCATTGCCCCAGAAAAAGGTTAAGAAACAGAAAGCAATACATAATCTTACTTCCCAGAGACTTCCCTTTGTATAGTATGTGCCTTTTAAAATTATGTACACTATTTTAATACAAATGAAATTAATTTCTAAATAATCTTAATATTTTTATTATATCAATTAAATATTTCATGGTTCCAAAATAATGTTTGATATGATTATCTTATGACCAAATAAATTAATCTGTCCTAAAATTATATGAGTAAAGGTTTTCTAAAGTTGGATACCAGAAAAGATCGATTCAAGGGTAGCATAATTCTGCATTATAGTAAAAATTTATTGTGAGAAACTGAGCTTTAGTTGTTGCCCATGGGAACAATAAAATGCCTCCTTTCAGGCCTGCAATTGCTGTTAGTAGCTTGATCCTTAAAAGGGATTTTCACAGTTTATCAATTCCTTACTTTATATTTCTTTACTATGATTTACATTTGGATTGCCTTATGTTTTTATTCACTAGAGATATTTTATAGCTCATAAGCAGTTTATTTTTCATATCTTTTATATCAAATATCTCTATCTGCATATTAAATTTTAACCCCAAAACACTGGTAAATCTGGTTTAACTATAGTTTACCACATATAATGTTTTGCTGAACATAAATTTCAGTAGCTATCCTCATGTCTTTTAAGCCCTAACTCATTTCTGTTAAATTTATGTTTTAGATCTAGTACACACAGAGGGGCAGCTTCAAAATGAAGAAATTATGGTAAGTAAATATACTCTGTAGAGATAAATATTATCTTTAGCCAGCATAATATGTTTAAATTTTAAACCTATTTCTATAGTAATAAAGTTAATAAATACTCTCATGATAGTATAGGTTCTGTACTTAATCAATAAACAGAGGTTATTCTCAATAATATTATAGTCTAAAGGTAGCATTTATAAATTAGGCTTTTATCTATCATAGACAGGATTACAGCAAGAATAAAACAGAACTATTCACTTTTTTTAAAAATATATTTTTTATTGGTTTCAGAGAGGGAGAGAGGGAGAAAGAGATAGAAACATCAATGATGAGAGAGAATCTTTGATTGGCTGCCTCCTGCACGCCCCCTACTGGGGATCGAGCCCACAACTCAGGCATGTGCCCTTGACTGGAATCAACCTGGGACCCTTCTGTCTGCAGGCTGACGCTCTATCCACTGAGCCAAACCAGCTAGGGCATGAATTATTCACTTTTTAAAAAAATGTATCTTTATTGATTTCAGAGAGGAAGGGAAGGGGAAAGAGAGATAGAAACATCAATGATGAGAGAGAATCTTTGATTGGCTGCCTCCTGCACATCCCCCATTGGGGATCAAGCCCACAACCCAAACATGTGCCCTTGACAAGTATTGAACCTAGGACCCTTCAGTCCGCAGGCTGACACTGTATCCACTGAGCCAAACCAGCTAGGGCCAGAATTCACTTGTTTTTGTTCTGTGTTCATTTTTTAAATTGGAAGTATTTACTTGCTTTGCTTTCTTTCATTTGATTCTGTAGGCCTTTTAGAGTAGGAATCATAAAAGGTTGAGATGCCAAAGCTGGATGTTAATTTAAGCATGAAAGGACAAGGGAGATTCAGATAAGGGGAACTGGAGCATAGGATCAGCAACAAATAAACCAAAGAGAGATGGGGTGGAAACAAGCATTTGTCGACAGCATTCCATTGAGCTTTGCTTGTCAAGTGGAACGAATGCCCATTGATGAGGAAGTACTGCCGCATCAGGAGTTTCTCTGTTCCTGCCAGTTTGTCAGGCTCTGGGTTTAGACAAACACAAAAACGTGGAAAAAGTGAATATGTGTTTGTCTGTTTTATCTTCTCCCAAGGATATGTGTTGTTGTTTTTTTATTGATTTTTAGAGATAAAGGAAGAGAAAGAGAGAGAAACATCGATTGGTTGCTTCCCATATGCACCCCAACCAAGGATCAAACCCCCTGACCTAAAATCAAACCCACAACCTTTGGTGTATGTACGACGCTCCAAACAACTGAGCCATCTGGCCAAAGGCAATGTGTGTGTGTGTTTTTAAAGGTGGCAGTGTTTGTTTAATTAAGGTTTCTTGAAATGATAGTTAGAGTGGTACCTTGTCCATTAAATTTCCTTTTTCACAACTTGTTGGGAGCTGCTATGAAATCTGTACTTCAAAAGAGTCTACAGGATGTTTTTGAATCCTATTAATTCTTTTCTTTACCACCCAAATGTGCCCAATGATTGGGAAGGTGAGTTGGGGGACAGGGGGAGTAGAAAAACGATTAGACTGAATTTTATCTTCCTATTTTTATCCATCTTTACCAACAGGTTATGATTAGTAAGTCTCTGCTGAATATTTTGTTTCAGGAACCTCTAAGGATCAGAGAAGCTCACATCATTATAGACCATTTGGAAAATAATAAGGGGGTTGGGAGGCTGAATATCACTCATCATTTTATCACCCTGTCATAACAGCTTTTTCTATATCTATTTTCTTCTAGTTATCAACCATGTGCTTCGCATATAGTTATAATAGTAATGTATGAACAATTTTGTATCATTTTTAAAACTTACTATATACAAGCTTCATAATTTTAAGATTAAACATATGCAAATAGGCAAATGCTAACTAATTTCCCTTTTCCTCCCTCTGTCATAAGTACTACTACAAGGAACATCTTATGCATGTTCCCACTACCACGATCTTCACCTTTTTAATTATTTCACAAGATTAGATTTCAGAGAATGAAATTACTAGGTTGAAAGATAAAGACATATTTATAGCTTTTTAATATATTGCCAAATTGCTTTCCTGAAAAATTACATAAATGTAAAAGTATAGTAATGTTTCAGGGTATCATATTCTGAGGCATCTTTAACTAAAAGAAATGTTTTGTTATGAAAAATACTTTAGAAAAACACTTTGAAAAAATTGATCAGAAATGTACAGTTGTAGCCTGGCCAGTGTAGCTCAGTGGTTGAGCATCAACCTATGAACCAGGAGGTCACAGTTCGATTCCCGGTCAGGGCACATGCCCGGGTTGCGGGCTTGATCTCCCGTGTGGGGCATGTAGGAGGCAGCCTATGAATGATTCTCTCTCATCATTGATGTTTCTCTCTCTCCCTCTCCCTTCCTCTCTGAAATCAATAAAAATATTTTTTTAAAAAGAAAAGAAATATACAGTTGTAATTTTTAGCTCCATTAGCCATTTTACATCAAACCAAGGCTGTTATTTAGCTAATACACACTAGAACGACTGTACTGTTATATGTGGCTGGCTTCTCTTCTGAATATTATCTTGTAAATAGTTACATATTTAGACTATACTCTTGCATCAAACCCTTTTTTCTGCTAACTCCTTAACAGTTAATTAGAACTGCTAAGAGCATTCTTATTGATTTTTCCCCTACAGGCAAATGATGGCCATGCCACTTACTTGAGATTCATTATTACATCAGCCTTTGATCATTTTGCATCTGTGTATAGCATTTCTGCAGAGGGAATAGCAGTCTCAAATCTTTCATAATAATTATAACAAAATGCTTTTGTATGTTTCTTAACAATGTATTTATTTTAAAATAAAGTTGCCACTGATGTACTTTATTTAAGGGATTTGCATCAACCTGTTTCAGTTTTTATTTTCTCTTTAATATTTTGTACAAAGGAACTTGGTATGATCGGTCAGCAGTAATGGCCACCATGGAGGAATAAGTGAGCTTTTCCTTTAATATATAGCTTAATTAAGGAAGTGGCTGTACATGAAAACTTAATTGGTAATACATTGTATTCCCCACAGCATCTAATAAGGTGCCCTTCCTATCTCAGTGCGTTAATTTTTAAATTTATTGATTGATTGATTGATTGATTGATGCAAAGAGTTAAGTGAGCAGAGTCAGTAAACAATGTATATGTTCAGAAAAAGAGAAAGTACTTATGGGAAGGTTTCACTGAGGTCACGGAACTTGAACTGGGCCCTGCAGGACAAATCACTTTATTCTTTTTCTTTTCATTTTATTTGGTCCTGATTTGAAATCCTCAGAGAAGAGTTGGGAAATACATAATCTTACTTTCCAGAGACACCCATTATTGATATTATTTTTTTAAGTATTTTGGGTTGTAAAGGAACAGGATGGGACAGATTGGGGGTAGCTATACTTTATTATATAGGTTGACTTTGTAAACATAAATAACTAATATAGCAAAAAATTAAAATAAAAAAGCAATTATAAAACATTGACAACAAATAGAAATGAACCTAACTTTATTACAACTTGATAAACACACAGGAAAGAAATGATATGAACATATTTTGTCTGTATAGTCTGTATTAGTTTCTTAAGGTTGCTGTAATAAAGTTCTGCAAACCTGATGGCTTAAACAATAGAAATTTATTCTCTCACAGTTCTGAAGGCTCAAAGTCGGAAATCAAGGTATTGGCAGGGTTTGTTCTTATCTTTCTCTTAGCTTCTGGTATTGCTTGCAATCTTTGGCATTCCTTGGCTTATGGCACTGTAGTTCCCATCTCTGTCTCTGTCATCATATGGCATTCTTTCTGTCTTCACGTCATCTTTCCTCTGTGCATATCTGTTTCTGTGTGTGTGTTTATCTTTTTATAAGGATATCAAGCATATTGAATTACGGGCCCACCCTACTCCAGAGTGACTTCATCTTAAATAATTACGTCTGCAATGACCCTTTCTCCAGTAAGGTCACATTCACAGGTACTAGGGAGATAGGACTTGAACATGTCTTTTTGGAGAAACAATTGGACCCACAACACAGTTTTACTGAAATATATTTGTGATAGTTAATTTTATGTGTCATATTAACTGGACCACAGTGGTCAGATATTAGCTCAGACATTATTCTGGATGTTTCTGTGTGGGTGTTTCTGGATGAGATTAACACTTAAATGGGAGGACTTTGAGTAAAGCAGTTTGCTCTCTACAATGTGGGCCTCAACCAATCAACCAGTTGAAGACCTTAATAGAACAAAGACTGGCCTCAACTGGGCAAGAAGGAATTCTAGCCTGGAGTGGCTCAGTGGTTAAGCTTCAGTCTATGAATCAAGAAGTCACTGGTTCAGAAGCTCTCCCACTGCAGACACAGCTGACTCTCATAGCCAGTTAGCCTGGAGGTCAATTCACCCCCAGTATTGCCGACAACAATCAAGGCTTAACTACAACAAGACTGCGCACAAAGACCACAAGGGGGTGCACCAAGAAAGCATAAAAAATGCGGAGACAAAGAAACATGACAGAAATGGAGGATATAGAGCTAAAAAACGCACTTTTAAGGTCTTTCAATAATTTTCTAGAAACTGCCGATAAACTTGATGAGAGCCTCAAGAAATCTAATGAGACCCTCGATGTTGTGATAAAGAACCAACTAGAAATTAAGCATACACTGACTGAAATAAAGAATATTATACAGACACCCAACAGCAGACCAGAGGAGCGCAAGAATCAAGTCAAAGATTTGAAATGCGAAGAAGCAAAAAACACCCAACCGGAAAAGCAAAATGAAAAAAGAATCCGAAAATACGAAGATAGTGTAAGGAGCCTCTGGGACAGCTTCAAGCGTACAAACATCAGAATAATAGGGGTGCCAGAAGATGAGAGACAGCAAGATATTGAAAACCTATTTGAAGAAATAATGGCAGAAAACTTCCCCCACCTGGTGAAAGAAATGGACTTACAGGTCCAAGAAGAGCAGAGAACCCCAAACAAAAGGAATCCAAAGAGGACCACACCAAGACACATCATAATTAAAATGCCAAGAGCAAAAGACAAAGAGAGAATCTTAAAAGCAGCAAGAGAAAGAGACTCAATTACCTACAAGGGAATACCCATACGACTGTCAGCTGATTTCTCAACAGAAACTTTGCAGGCCAGAAGGGAATGGCAAGAAATATTCAAAGTGATGAATACCAAGAACCTACAACCAAGATTACTTTATCCAGCAAAGCTATCATTCAGAATTGAAGGTCAGATAAAGAGCTTCACAGATAAGGAAAAGCTAAAGGAGTTCATCACCACCAAACCAGTATTATATGAAATGCTGAAAGGTATCCTTTAAGAAGAGGAAGAAGAAGAAAAAGGTAAAGATACAAATTATGAACAACAAATACACATCTATCAACAAGTGAATCTAAAAATCAAGTGAATAAATAATCTGATGAACAGTATGAACTGGTGATTGTAATAGAATCAG